TTTCAAAATATTTATGCCAAAAATAATGTCATGCTTAATGGTGAGATACTGGAAACATTCCCATTGAAGTTGAGGACAATAATTTTAGAGGTACATTAGGAGCAATTGGATAAGAGAAAGAAATAAGAGGTATAAATAAAAACGAAAAGGCTAAACTGTCATTTTTGTGAACAAATTCAAGGTCATCTAAACTATCCTATATAATAAAGAGCTAATATGCAAGTGGTCATCGGGCCCTCGGGCCTTCACACCGGGGCCGGGGTGCCTGAGGCCAGGCTGGGGGATCTAAGGCTGCGCCCCCCCACCCAGCGGGGCTTGACAGGGGACCTGAGACTGTGCCCCCCGCCCTGCAGGGCTTGATGGGGGACCTGAGGCTGCACGCTCCCCCTGACCCTGTGAGGCTTGATGGGGGTGGGGCCAGTCGGGTCTGGGTCTCGCATGATTTCGAGGTGCACGCAGGTGGGCAGGGACTTGACTCTGGGTCCCACAGCATGCCCCAGACTCTGACAGGAGGGAGATTTTCATATACATTTTACTAATTTTCTTTCATCTCTGACACTTCTGTTATAGAGAAAGGGCAAATAACAATCCTATATAATAAAAGCCTAATATGCTAAGTGTCCAGTTGTCCGGTTGGCTGTTCAACCAATCAAAGTGTAATATGCTAATGATTGTAAGGATGCTCAACCATTCGCTATGATGTGCACTGACCACCAGAGGGCAGAGAGCTGACCAGTTGACCAGTTGCTATGACGTGCACTGACCACCAGGGGGCAGATGCTCTGGCCAGTAGGTTAGCTTGCTGCTTGGGTCTGGCCAATCCGGACTGAGCAAGATGGGCCAGACACATCCTGGAACCCTCCCAGGGTCCCTCCCCAGCTGGCCAACCTCCCACATCCCTCCCCGGCCCCAACCATGCACCCGTGGGGTCCCTCTCATAATCCGGGACCCCTTGAGGGATGTTGAAGAGCTGGTTTCAGTCCGATCCTGCAGACCAGGCCACGGGAACCCACTGGTGCACAAATTCATGCACTGGGCCTCTAGTTAAATATAATTAGAGAGTTTAGTATGGTTACTGAATAGAGATCAATATATGCAAAAATTCAACAATCCTGTTGTTTATAATTATAATAAAAGATATAATTTAAGCCTGGCTGGGTGGTTCAGTTTGTTGGGGTAGCGTCCTGTACACCAAGAGGTTTCAGGTTCTATCCCCAGTGCAGGTGTGTATAGGAGGCAGCCGATCGGTGTTTCTCTCTCATATCAAAATTTCTCTCTCTCTCTTTCTCCCCCTCTCTCTCCCTTCCTCTTTCTCTAAAATTAATAAAAACATATCCTCATGTGAGGATTAAAAAAAGAAAAGAAAATGTCATTTCCAATTACAACAAAAACCATCACACATGAACACGAAGAACTGAATAAACAGAAAGCTTTGCCATCTTTATGAGTAGAAAGTCTCAAAATCATAAAGTGGAAATTCTTCTTAAATATTTAATAAATTCAATGTGATTCCATAAAACATTTTATAAAACATTTTGTTTCCACATAATTTGACAAGCTGATTCTAAGATTAATATGGAAGGATTAAGGGCAAGACTTCCAATGCAGTATAAGCACTATGAGAACAAAGATGTTTGTTTTTTTTGTTTAATCTCATATCCCAGAGTCTGGAACAGTACCTGGCACCTAGTAGGTGTTCAAAAAATATTTGTGAGCACAAACGAATGACAACTTAGAAGAAGAAGGATAAGAAGAGAAGGAGGATCCTACCTGGTTTGGCTCAGTGGATAGAGCATCGGCCTGCAGACTGAAGGGTCCTAGATTTGATTCTGGTCAAGGGCACGTGCCCATGTTGCAGGCTCGATCCCCAGTAGGGGGCGTGCAGAAGGCAGCCAATCAGTGATTCTCTCTCATCATTGATGTTTCTATCTCTCTCTCCCTCTCCCTTTCTCTCTGAAATCAATAAAAATACATTAAAACAACAACAACAAAAACTGAATATAAAATTTAGAAACAGATCCACATAAATATGAAAACTTGTTATATACTAGAGGAGGCATTACCAATCAGTGAGGAAAGGGTAGACTAGCTAAATAACCATGCTTAAAGAATTGGCTATTTAGATGAAAAAAATTACATCCTTATCAATATTAATTAGGATTTGCATTCTGCTACAAGGATTATGAAAGTGTCCTAAACAGAAATGGATTTCTTTTCTCTCATAAGAAGAATTCTAGAAATAAACAAAAGAAAAGGATTAAATTAGAAATAAACAAAAATGTCCAGAGGTAGGTTGGTGCAGCAGCCCCACAATATCACTAATGCTCCAGATTCTTTGTCTCATCACAATCCTTAGCTCACAGCTTCTCTCTTCAAGCTTGTCACTGCATGTGGCAAAGGGCAATTCACCTCTAACCCACGTCCATTTTTCAGAAAAGAAGTGACACATAGTGTCAGAGCCAAACCAGGTCTTCCTGACTCCAAAATCTACTGAAAGACTCTTACATTTCTGATGGAAGAGCTCCTACTCATCTCTCATTAGTCATTGATTCAGCACCTTGTGATGAACCTCTCTTATGCTGACCATACTGTTTTCTAATTATGTGCCTGTCTCCCAGTTCTCCCATAAAACACCTAATTGAGCCCACTCACGTCCAAGCTAGGCTCCATCTATGTTCCACAATGCCCAAGGCACAGAGCAGGCATCAGGAGAGGTATGTAGAATTGGGGGTGAGAAGTGTCAGACCAGCCCTAGCCGGTTTGGCTCAGTGGATAGAGCGTCAGCCTGCGGACTGAAAGGTCCCAGGTTTGATTCTGGTCAAGGGCATGTACCTTGGTTGCGGGCACATCCCCAGTAGGAGGTGTGCAGGAGGCAGCTGATAGATGTTTCTAGCTCTCTATCCCTCTCCCTTCCTCTCTGTAAAAAAATCATTAAAATATATATTTTCTTTAAAAAAAAGAAGTGTCAGACCAGATTATGTTGTTCGTAGAAATGTATTTCCTAATGACTGGAAAACAATGCAGGCATCATTTTATTTGTGGAACTCAAATCAAATTATCAAGAGGCAAAGACCCAAGTACGAGGAAGTCTAGCAGATAATTGACTAATCAGAATTGTCTTCTCATTCTGTTTGATTTCAAGGTTTAAAAAAAACAAAACAGCTGTGTTTTGCAAATCAGTTCCCAATCTGAACACATAAATGACTTTCTTGCCCGGAAACACCAATGCCCCTGGCTTAGATGATGCTGAAAACTGCCTATGTTGGAAAGAAACAGAGCTGACGGCTAGTGAATGAATCTAGGTGTAGGGAGTAGAAGACAGTGTAGGAGACATAAATGGAGGGACATCAATAAGAGACCTAAAGTGACTTGGAAGAAGCAGAGGTCTTCCTAGAGCAGGTGTCCAGGTGGCTGGCCTGCTTGGGAAGAAGCTCCACCTATGGGTTTCTGGGTGGGTTCTTTGAATGCTAATAGCTACCGCTAACTGAGCCATTGCTATATGCCAGATGTTGTGGTAAGTGCTATTAGTGCATTATCTCATTTTCTTACTCTGGGCTTTAAAAAATATTTATTGTTGAGAATATTCTAGATGTGATATATGTTTTTATTGATTTTAGAGAGAGGAAGGGAAAGGGAGCGATAGTTGACATGAGAGAGAGAAACATCGATTGGCATGCCCCCACCAGGAACAGAGCCTACAACACGGGCATGTGCCCCGACCAGGAATTGAACCAGCAACCTCCTGGCACATAGGATGACACTCAACCAACTGAGCCCCACCGACCAGGGCTCTTATTTTCATTCTTAGAACAATCTTGCAAGTTCATAATTAGTACTCCCATTCACTGATGAAACTAAAGGTCAGGAAGTTGCAGCTAAGAAATGCAAAAGCTGGCTTCGATTTGACTCAAAGCTTCTGCTCCGAGTCCCTAACTATCTTCACAAAGCACTTTGAGGTAACTCTTACTTCCTCTACTTCAAAAACGAGGAGACTGAGGTCTAGGGATGCCCCAACTTGCCCAGTGACCCAGGTAGTTAAGTGTCAGAGCCAAATCAAGTCTGTCTGACCCCCAAATCTACTCTACCACCCAGGGAGAGGAAGACCAAAAGCCAGGGTAAGGAACATGCCGGAAAGCCCTTACTGTCAGGCCCGCCCCTTCCCCAGGACACTGCCCCTTTGTTTCCCCTCCACCCCAGCTTCACCATCTAGGCCCCTTCCAAGAATCTTCTTTTCACTGCCTCTTCCATGGTGTCGCCCCTGGGCTGAATGAACTGGGACAGGGTAGTTCTTGGGAGTCTCTAAGGAAGGAATAGACAGGGTACCACCAGCCTGGGGGGCCCCATCCCTACACATCTGAGCCAGGCCTGTGCATAAGATTGGTAAGTGCTTGGGTCAGGGGGCAGCCAAAATGGGTTCCAATTCAGCCTGGTGACTTTGGCCAACGACAGTAGCTCCCTTTTTAAAAAGTGTCTATTCTCGCCCTGGCTGGTAGCTCAGTTGGTTAGAGTGTCCTCCCAATACACCAAGGTTGCCAGTTCTGTCCAAGTCAGAGCACATGCAAGAATGAACCAATGAATGCATAACTGAGTGGAGCAACAAATCGATGCCTCTCTCTAACTCAAATCAATAATAATAATAAGAAAAACACGGTCTATCCTGGGACAGACATTTTACTAGGGTTTCCTCCATGTTTTGAAAGTTTAACACCGCCCCCTCCCAACCCCAACCCCTTGACTGAGGAGACTGAGCCTCTTCCCTCCCCCCCCCCCCCCCACACCCCTGGTATAAAGTGTAAAAAAAAACAATGAACAGTCGAAAAGACGGTAAGCGGGAAATGTAAGATAGGGACAGAACCTGTAATGAGTATTATAGAAAGTGAAGGAAGAGGTAGAGGGGGAGAAACGGGGAGAAAATATAAGAGAAACATAGCCATCCCAGAAGAAGACAAAAAAAAAAAAGGAAAAATACGTATGTAGGGAGGAGGGGAGGAGAATGAGCCATGGAGGGTAGGGGGGGCGGGAGATTTCACTTAAAGGCCCTCCGGTATCACAAG